TTGGTTTCAGCTCAGGTCATGATCTCATGGTTCATGAGGTCAAGCCCCGCAGCGGGCTCCACGTTGCCAGTGTGGAGCCTGCTTGGGATTCTCCCTCTCAGCCCCTCCCACACTCACGCATGTGCTCACTCTCTCTCACTTTCAAAATAAACTTAAAAAAAAAAAAAGATTAAAAACCATAAGATCACCCAACAAAGAACAACATCCATTAATGATAAAAACCCTCGACAGAACAGGTTTCAGGGAGGCCATGACAGAGGCCATATATGAAAAACCACCAGCTAACGTCATACTGACTGAGCTTTTTCCCCAAAGTCAGGATGAGAATGTCCACCCTGGTCACCACACATTTATTCAACACGGCACTGGAAGTCCAAGCCACAGCACTCAGACAAGCAAAAGGGATAAAAGGCGTCCAAACTGCTAAGGAAGAACCAAAACTTTCAGCGTTTGCAGATGACACATTATGCAATACAAGACCCTAAAGACCCCACCAAAAACTGCTAGAACTGGTACGTGAATTCAGCAAAATTACAGGATACAAAATCAACATACAGAAGTCTGTTGCGTTTCTACACACTAATAATGAAAGAGCAGAAAAAGAAATTTTGTTTAAGAAAATCCCATTTACAATTGCACCAAAAATAATAAAATACCTAGGAAAAAACTTAACCAAGGAGTGGAAGATATGTACTCCAAAGACAATATAAAAAACTGATGAAACAAATTGAAGACGACACAAACAAATGGAAAGACAGCCCATGCTCAGGGATTGGAAGAACACTGTTAAGATGTCCACACCACTCAAAGCCATTACAGATTTAATGCAATCCCTATCAAAACACCAATATTTTTCAGAGAACTACAATAATCCTAAAATTTGTATTGAACCACAAAAGAACCCCTGGATAATATATTTATCCAGTAATCACACTATTAAGTATTTCCCCCAAAATACAAAAACAGATTCAAAGGGATATAGGTAGGTACCGCTGTGTTTATTGCAGCATAATTATTTATGGAAGTCCCAAAGTGTCCACCGACAGATGGATAAGGAAAACGCAGTGTGCATATTAATACACACACATACACAGAATGGAATGATAAGAAAGAATGACATTTCGCCATTTGCAACGACACGGATGGAGCTAGAGAAGGTAATGCGAAGGAAAACACCCCAGTCAGAGAAAGACAAACACCATGTGATTTCATTCATTTGTAGAACTTAAGAAAGAAAACAAATGAACAAAGGGGGGAAAAAAAAGGAGACAAACCAAAACAATAGTCTTTATTTAATTTTTTTTAGTTTTAAGTTTCTTTTGAGAGAGGGAGAAGGAAAGGGTGAGCTCGCTTGCATGTGAGCAGGGAAGGGGCAGAGAGAGAGAAAGAGAGAGAATCCCAAACAGACCTCACACAGTCAGCAAAGAGCCCAACGTGGGGCTCGAATGCACAAACCACAAGACCACGACCTGAGCCAAAATCAAGAGTCCCGCACTTAACCGACTGAGCCCCCCAGGCACCCCCAAACCAGAACAAGTCTTAAGGGCAGAAAAGGAACAGACGGTTGCCAGAGGGGAGGTGGCTGGGCGTGAAAGGGGTGACAGGAGCCCCGATGGGCACCGACTGATGTGTGGAACTGCTGAATCACAATACCGTCCACCTGAAACTCCTACAACAGGAGACGCTGACCAGAGTAGAACTAAAATGAAATGTAAAAATGGAAGTTATGCACTGAGAGCAGCTAATGATGAATGTGTCCCATACTGAGATGAAGTCTGTATAAAAACACATTTTTTTCACTTGCTTTATAACTACAAAGACCAAATACAGGCTTTTGATCTTGTTAGAAGATAGGTGGCTCAAACACAACATAAATCATGCAGAAAGATGTAGTTAAATGAAAACCTGCCAAAAGTTTATTTTAAACATACTATATAAAGGTGTTCCAACAACGAAGTAACTTGCACGCTAAAACGTTTCGCGGCCTTAGCTACAGGAATGCAGTCCTCCGTCACGCTGACAACTGAAGAAATTCACAAAGTTTAGACCGAGCCTACAAATTCCAGATTACAAGTTTTTAAGACAGCACATTCATCCAGGGGGCAAAGGGCACAAAGACAGAGTTGATCTGGTTTTTTTTTTTTTTTTTTTTTTTTTTTTTTTTTTTTTTTTTTTTTTTTAGTACATTGTTCTCCGAGCGAAGATTCACGGATAGGAAATCAGAGTGGTGGCTGCCAGAAGGAGGCGGTGGGCGAAACGGGTCAAAGGGTCCAAAGTTGCAGTTGTAAGGCGAGTGAGTCCCCGGGATATAAAGGACAGCATGGCGACCACAGGTCACCACAGTGGACTGCATGTGACCTGCGTGACCCAAACCGCCTTGCTGCACACCTGAACCTAACGCAATGCCATCTGTCAGCTATATCCCAATGAGATAAATGAATCGGATTTTGAGAACTAATATCTGAAAGATCCTTTGGAACTCTCCACTCGTGGTTTCCAGAGTGACAACCAGGAAGCAGCAGCATCCTTGGCGTCCATGGAGACCCCGGCCCTAAAGACCATGGCTGCCTCCATGCAGCCGCAGGGCTCCTTACACGAAGAACTGACCACAGATCTGGAGCAGGACGTGCCTGGATCGGGGCAGGGGGACAGAAGCTAGTACTGAAGACCAAAGAAGCCGTAAGAAAGAGAAGGCAGTTAAATGACTTTCCTCGGGCCACAGTTGAAACAATTTGAGCATAAGGGGAAAAAAAAAAGACAACAGATCTCATTTGATTATATAATCTCAACTATACACATACACAAAAATATTTCTATGAGGTCATCGTGGTATTACAATAAAACAGGCCAACATTTATAAAAACAAAGCCTCTTCTGTCATCCCTGGAGGAGCTACGTCACCATCTCCCCCTAGAACAGCCGAGGAAGCAGCAGGCACCCGCCCTTGCCCTCCGACTGTACTTCAGGGTAACCCGGCGGCCCCTACTGAGGAGGGAAGTGCCTCCTCACGAGGTCCAGCCACTAAACGTAAAAGAAATTAGAGAATTCTTCAGAAAACTTTGCCAACTCTATGAAAGGAAGTGCTCCAGGCAATAAACATGGGTCAGTCCATAAGTAAATAAAAGCACAGACAAGGAACAGAATATTCACAGGATCCCACAACACCAACCCGCCAGATGTGTCTACACGGAGAAAACCAGCTGTACAAAACACGCGGCTCGTCTGGGCCGGACGACCATTCCGGGGACCACCTGAAAATCCGGAAGGAAGTACTCGGTGCTTTCAGGCAAGCATCAGCTAATGTGGATTCGGTACTTCAGCAGGGCACATCCTTGTGCTCCAGGGACACAAACTTAACTATAAAAAGTAAACCACCAGGACCCCTGGGTGGCTCAGTCGGTTAAAGCGTCCGATTTCAGCTCAGGCCATGATCTCACAGTTGGTGGGACTGAGTCCCGCGTCGGGGTCTGCACTGACACCACGGAGCCTGCTTGGGAGTCTCCCTCTCTGTCTGCCCCTCCCCTGCTTTCACGCTCTCTTTCCCAAAAATTAAAAAAACACAAAACTTTAAAAAAAGATAACAATAAAAAGTTCTTGCCGCAGACTTTCAGAATGAGCATCCACGTACGCGAGAGGGGCAATCCATTAAGAATCATCCAACCTTACAGAGTTCTTGAGCAAACAGTTCTTGGCCACACGTGAGAGAAGCCATGTCACTTACTGTATGCAAACAACTCTGAATCAACCCACCATTAACTCAGCTTTAAAACTGAAACGTTACCTAGCATTACTAGGGTGATAATGGGTGGCGTGGAACTGTTTAAGCTGCTCCCACGTGAGGTCTGGGATGCACAACGGATGGCCCCCGGAGATGACCGAGTATGTGTGGTCAGGCAGGAGTCGGTTCTGAAGGTGCTGCGAGAATATCCTCTCGTTATCTGTCTTCAAACGAAAAAAATTATACACAGAAGTGTAAAATAACACACACTGTTACATTACAACACAGCAAATTACTAACCCTCTGGGCGATACACCTGTAACACCTTGTGATTCAAACTGTGACGATGTAAACAAGGCCGTGGGTGCAGACACTGTCTAACAGAGTCCACCCAGGGTTTCTGCACAGGACCCAGGGATGACGTGTCTCAGAAAACTATGTGGTGTGCATGGCCCACAGCAGTGCACAGCGGAGCGCCGGGCAGCGGTGTGCACAACAGTGCGCAAGAGTCCCTGCCACGAGCTGCAGAGGGGGGGGGTCCATGGGCTTCCGGAGCAAAGGCTGTCACTCTAACTTGAATTTCCAGAAGGTGCTGGAAGGCACGGGGCCCGAACCAAGTATTAATGGCTAAGGAAGCAGCACAGGGCAGGAAAGCAGCCCGCGTCAGGGCAGAACTCCAAAGTGCGAGGGGCTGTGAGGACGGGGCATGGAGAGAGGCTCTCATACCACCTGGTCTCCAGAGCCTCATATCCTAAAACTCAGGGAGGCCCCCAAAGAGCTTTCCATGAGGTGGGTTTCCTGATTACATAGGAGTGTGTGTACACATAGCTTTTCTGTTACAAATTAAAGCTGAGACCTTTTAAAAAAGTTACCTGTTCACTCATGATCTTAACCCATCACTACACATTAGCAAACATTTTTTAACAAAGCAGAAATATCACTGAGAAGGACAGCACTATTTCTGCACATTCTGCAAATAAATCTTCTTAATGTCTGGCTTAACAGGAGACCGCTGGATTTTCCTATCTGCTTCCGGATCCGATAAATGCTATCACACAACACGTAACACAGGCTCGGGAACTGCACTTGGGCAAGAACGAGCAAAAATGGCCATCTCCCAGACTCCCGCGGACCAGATGCCAGGGCCCGAGACCGCAGTGGGGGAGCTGCTGGTCTGGAACACCGGGTCCTAGAAAATCGGGAGCCTGGCCATCTCGTCTTATGGCCGGTGATCACTGCACAGTCCCCTGGCTAGTCCAACAGGGCCCGTGCCGTAAGCACATTACACGACATGAGAGAATGTCGACTCTCCCCCAGACCTTTTTATGTTGCAGTATTTTACACGGGAAAATCATTTCTACACAATTTTACAAAAGGGAAAAACTCACAAATGCTCCCTTCATCTCATTAAAGACGACTCCCTTGAAGGTCAGGGGTGTCCGGGGGTCCCTCGGATTCTCATGTTCCAGTCGCCATCCTTCCTGCCTAAATAACAATCAATGATTACACAGTGACAGGGACTCTAACACTGAAGTCCAAATCCATCTGTCCTCACTCACCAGAAATCTAGTTCCCGCAAGCAGGGAAAAAATGTTGCATCCAAGTACACAGACAGGAGATTCTGGAAGTCCTTGGGATTTTGTGTGGAGAACGGGTACAGAGTATAATCGCTAGCTGGGTATAAACGAAAAGATTTTAAAACTCGCCAGATTCCCGGGGCTTTGGCCACTTGCAGCCTCCCCTTACCCCCCGCCCCCCGCCAACAGGGACCCCTCACTGCCCAGGGCGCAGAGGCCACACCTCACGCGCCTAGAAAGACGACCTCATCTACAGACAGCCGATGCCATGCGCGTTCGCCGCAGCCCTCACCGCACTTCCGTGCACACCATCAGTCTATTGGCTGCCCTGTTTCCAAGCCCCGCCACCAGGGCATTAACGTGACGCTACAGATGTCAAATTTTGTAGCAAATTTCCCAGAAACATCTCAGCTGCCCCTCCCCTAAGACTCCAGTTTGTATAAACCGACCCCCATGTGGCTTTCCTGGAAGACTAAACTTCCAGCAGACTAGAAAATGGCAAATCCGTGCTGGTCCACAGCTGCCGGCTCCCCCCTCCCCAGCGAGGATCCCGGTGGGTGCGGCAGCCAGGCCCAGCGCGGCCCCGGTCCCAGACGCCAGCTGACCTGTGAAGGCGTTCATGAAAGTGGACAGGGACCTATTCAGCATCTTGAAGAAGGGGTCTCTGCACGGGTACTTCTGAGAGCCGCACAGGACCGTGTGCTCCAGGACGTGCGGGACGCCGGTGCTGTCCAGGGGGGTGGTGCGGAACTGCACGCTGCGGCAAAGACCAGATGGCAGGCGGGAAGGTCAGGCGGGTGGTACGGCACACTTTTCAAACCTGTGACACCCGCGGCAACCAGATCTGGTCACCGTAACATCGTAACCCTTCGCGAAAACTGTCTCGACCACTGAGTATGAAATCGCTAATTCAGGCTGCAAACTTGCACCAGCTGTGGCTTTAGACACAAATCCACTTACCTTCTCCTGTTTTCAGGATGCAGCCAACAAAACTAAAACATTCGTGAACGGGGACCTTTAACCACGTAATGGACGGCAGACGTTCTCGGTGGAGACACTCGAGAACGTGCTCCCAAGATGCACCACACACCTGAACAAGTTGTTTGTGTCTTCTCGGGCCAAGTGCAAGTATTTGGCTCCTGTGCTGTCATGGCTAAGCTTCACCGCGGTCAGGGACAGTTCAGGGATGTCCGTTACCTGAATGAATAAAGACGCAAACAGCTAGACTCAGATGGAAAAGCGCTCAGGGCAGTTACGTTCACTGCACTGCAGGGCCTGGCCTGACTGCCTTTAATCAGGCAGCACCAGGAGGCTGGCATGGTGGGGCTGGGGGCACATCAGAAACCACCTCGTTCAGACCCTAAACCTTATGAACAAGCCAAGGGCTGACGATGCTATGCATCTCTTCTTTCTGAATGCTTACTGTTTGCGAGACATTTTCCCAAGAGTTTACGGGTCATCCTATGAGAGAGGGATCCTCAGCCCCATCTACAGACGAAAACATTGAGGCACAGAGCCGTGGTCATAGAGCGGTAGTCCAACTCCATCCATCACACCAGGCCGCCCTGGACGAGTCCTATTCCCACTGGCAATGCCCACTGTGTGGCTTCCTTTTATACACACCAGCTCGGGAAAGCGCAGAATGGCCCTGCTGGGAGCTCAGTGCTGGAGCGCCCACAGCCTGGGACGGAACTTTGCTGTGTCTGGTTCACAGAGTTCTAAGGACCAGTTACCTGCTCCTAGTGGGAGGGTCCAGGAGGGTACAAATCACCTCCGATAAAAACAAACGCATCCTGGGACACCCAGGTGGGTGGCTCAGTTGGTTAAGCAACTGACTCTTGATTTTGGCTCGGGTCATGATCTCACAGGTTCATGAGATCAAGCCCCATGTCGGGCTCTGCACTGACAGCATGGAGCCTCTTGGGATTCTCTCTCTCTCTCAAAATGGATAACCATTTTTTTAATAATAACAAAAGAATAAGTTCTTACATAAAATACTTCTAGATAATTTTCCCTCCAAGCATCTGCAGTTCTATAAGACCAGACCAAATGCCTGCATCACTATGACATAGTGCATAGTGCATAGAGCATCACTATGACAACCACACTGTTTATCACCCCCACTTTCCAGGGGCTGTCTGTGCTTACAGCAAGCTGCCAGCAGGGCAGAGATTAGAACCCGGGTGTCCTGAGTGTGTTCTGGGGACTGTCCACGCAAATGACATTGCTTAAAGAAGCTTGTGATACCTGCTGAGTTTACAACCATTAAATTATTTATATCTTACTTTGTAAGAGATGATCAATGTGTTTACAATCAGTCGCTATGTGAACTGTCTGCCCCCTAACAGCTTTCATGGTGACTGCTTCTTAAACAAGGATCGTATTTTATCATAAATCTCTATAAAACTTGAAAAATAGAGGAAAGAACTCTGAAAGAGGTCCTCAAGAACAGTAACTACTTTGAGTGCAAACTCCTCTGCACGGCCCTAGGGACCGCACGAAGGCCCTCCCGCGCCCGCGTCAGGAGCCCCTCACCCAAGCTGCGCCACTGCCCATTCCCAAGCCCTGCGGGGAACTGCTGTCCCTGTGTGTCCAGCCTACAGGGAGGCAGCTGTCCTTACGCACCGCTCCCTTCTCCCGGAACCTGCCCCCCTCTCGCCCCCCATCCTTTCGCTCTCCCATCCAGTTCTCCTTGCATCACAGCTGCACCTGTGTCCCCCTGGGCTGTGAGCTGCCCGCCCTTCCCTGCGCTAAAAGTGCTACTTCCCACAACATGAGAATGATGTGATCAATGATATTAACAACCATCACTGTAAAAAAAAAAACAAAATTAAATAAATGCAGGACCACAATCCATCTTCTATAATTCTGAAACCCCAATGGCTCAAAACCAAAGTTTTTGCGTAAGTGCGGAACAAACTCGTGCTAGGAACACGCAGCCCCACGTACATGTGGGACAGACGTGGGCCGTCTTCACTCAGCGCAGAGAACAGTCAGGTGTCTGGGTGCAGAAACATCAATGGGCTGGACTCACTTTCTAAAACCTAAAGAGGCATTGGGTTGTAGGGGTTGGGATCAGGGAAGGGCCGGGGAACTGCACTTATCGAAGCATCGGGAAATCCCTTCGCTGGCAAACTCCACTCGGTCGAGCCCACTGTGAATCGGGCGAGCCAGGGCCTGGGACAGAGACCCCAAGGGTGTGTGGGTGGCGCAGCAAGGCGGGCCCGCGCACCTGGCTGACGGTGAAGCCGTGGATCCGCTCCCCCACCTCGTGCTGCAAGGCGCGCTCACAGGCTGCGGTGCCCCTCCTCCTCCGGGCTCCCAGGCTGGCACTGCCCCGTGGAAGGAAAGCAATCGAGGTTAGACGCTTCTGCAGGACGCTGTGTGGCTAACGTAATTCTGCAACATCATGAGGGCATTTGTACGTGACAAAGACATTTCAAAGAAAAAGCAAGCCTTACATTTTCCAAACATTTCAGAAAACAAATTTCTGCAGTTTTTAGTAAAGTTCTTTCAATTTTAAGACCTTTATCTCAACTCAGCTGAAGCTTCACTATATCAAGCTAATAAATGCATGTTGCAAGCCTTTTATACGTCAACGCTCGTAACTGTAACATGATTACGATACCAATTTCCCTCACCTGCACCAAAAACAATTCTCACATGACACGACATTTCCCATGCAGGTACACGATGTGGCCTCAAACTCCTATTACACATCTACTGAACTGGTAAAAAGCAAGAAGTCTTGCTTCACGGGGAACTCCTACACTGCAATTAGGTGTGCAAACAATAACAATCCTGGAATAACATTTGGCACCATTTAAATGAGAATCACTGGGGCGCCTGGGCGGTTCCATCGGTTGAGCATCTGACTTGATGTGCGCTCAGGTCATGGTCTCACGTTGGTGGGATGGTCAGGCTCTTCGCTGACTGCGCACAGCCTGCTCGGGACTCTCCCTCTCCCTCTCTCCGCCCCTCCCCTGCTCTCTGTCTCAAAATAAATAAATAATCTTTAAAAAAACGCACTTGGAAAAAAAAAAACCAAGAACTGATGGTGGCCAGAGGGGAGGGGGTGGGGGTGAGTGAAATAAAACAGCGGCTGCCATGTAGCTACTGTATGACTGGAACTGAATTTTGTATATGCACATACACACGTAGACGGATCAAGAGGAGCAGGAACAGACCAGAGAGCAATCGCATCTAAGAGGGTGGGAGAGTCAGTCGTTTGGAGGTGGTCTGCGTAACGGTGACACGACCGCACCATACGCTTGCTTTATAGAGTTTTCTACGTTAGCATTGTCTGACACAAGTATTTCCTTTGAGACACGCACCGAAGAGGAAAACAACAACAACGCCGAGCCGGTCGCCATCAGGCAACATCACCAAGATGAGCCGTCACCTTCCTGACTCAGCCGATTCCACAATCACAGAAGAGGATTTGCAGGTGTTCTTTACCATCAAGAGCACAACCACAAAGGAGCAAATGCTGGCGCCGAGCACGCAGAAGCAGCCCAGCACCTCGGGCTCTCCCGCCCGTACTCTCTGGTCACCGGCGACTCATGTAAGGCCCCTGCTGCCATAGTCACACGAGGCACGAGGACACCCCCATGCTTCTTCGCCGGCCGACTGCTCAACCGCACCATCCGTCACACAAGGTTCTGCGAATTAGCAGGGATCTTATCTACACACTCCTGGCGCACCACCATCGCTCAAGGTTGGAGTGGGTCTTTTCTCCGTAAACCGAGTCCATTTCTGGAAGCTACAGCTGTATTAAGAACACCGCAGCTCATGGGGCACCTGGGTGGCGCAGTCGGTTAATTAAGCATCTGACTTCGGCTCAGGTCATGATCTCGCTGTCCGTGGGTTCAAGCCTCCTGTTGGGCTCTGTGCTGACAGCTTGGAGCCTGGAGCCTGCTTCGGATTCCGCGTCTCCCCCTCTCTCTGACCCTCC